GGGCCCAGGGCTGGATTCGAACCTGCCACCTTAGGTGTATGTGGCTGGCGCCTTAGCCACTTGAGCCACAGGCACCGAGCCTTAAAGACCTTTCTTAACTCCCCTGGCAGAGGTAATATTCCCTGGTCTATACCCCCCATTATATCTTTTATACATCTATCTGTTGTACACTTACTGATCATGTGCATTAAGGTCACACTACAGTTGCTAGTTGACTTCTGCTTCTGATGCTGACTTGGGAAAGCCATTCTTCAGAATCGTTTTCTTTCTTTTTTTTTTCTTTTTTTTTTTTTTTTTGCAGTTTGGCTGGGGCCAGGTTTGAACCTGCCACCCTTGGTATATGGGGCCAGCACCCTACTCACTGAGCCACAGGCACTGCTTGGGAAAGCCATTCTTATTCCTTTCTTTCTTCAGAGCCTGGCAGACAGCTTACATTCAGTAAATGTTTGCCAGATGAATAAGGAAAGGGAGAAAAATCCCCAAGCCTTTTGGTCATTCACCTGTAGCCCCTCCCCACCTTGGCCCCTCTGGCCCCCTCCACTTACCTGTTCCCTTCCATCCTGCAGCTCTGGAATGCCCTGATTACAGCAGCTACACCACCTGCCTTCCGCCTTGCTCACCTTCCTGCTGGGACCCGGATGGCCAGTGTGAGGGTGCCAGAGTCCCCTCCGCCTGTGCAGAGGGCTGCATTTGTCAGCCCGGTTATGTGCTAAATGCAGACAAGTGTGTGCCCAGAAGTCAGTGTGGCTGCAAGGATGCCCAGGGAGGCATCATCCCTGTGAGTGGGCAAGGGATGTGGGATGTGGTCAACATACCTTGAGGATGGTGTCCTATCCTTTCCTTAGCCTTTTTAGTCTGGGACACCCATGTCTTTATGGCTAGCCTTGGGTGTGAAGCATGGTATGAGCAGCCAGGACAGGGCTGGGGATGCATCTGGATCTGAGGATTCCACACAACTGAGACACAGCATGGTATATTGGAAAGAGCAGGGCCTTGGTGCAGGCTGACCTGTGTTTGAATCCTGATTGTACCTCTGATGAGTCAACTGAATTCTGTTACCTCTGTTTCCTCATCTGTAAAATGGGTCCAGTAATACCTCCTGAAAAGCATATCTAAGATTCTAAGCAAGTGCCTTTTGGTGAGATACAGGGACATACAGATCCAAATGGCCCTGTTACTGCCTCTGGCCAGTGCTAATTAAGCAATTCAGGCAGTGAGCTTAGGCTGTCAGGATGAGAGGAAGGAGAACCAGCTCTTCCCTCTTCACTCCTTTTCTCTTTCTTCCTGTGGCTTCTACAGCCAGGTAAGACCTGGATCACCAGTGGCTGCTCTGAGAGCTGTCTCTGCACAGGAGGAACCATTCAGTGCCGGGCCTTCCGATGCCCCTCTGGGTCCCACTGCCAGCTCGGCTCCAACCATGGCAATAGCAACTGTGCACCTGACAGTAAGGGGAGCTGCTGGGGAGGGGGAGAGGGGCCTGAGGCTAGGGCTGAGTTGGTGTGAGAGGTAGGGCAAGAAGGGGATCAGCCTGGTCCTGAGCTCAGGCAGGCATGGGGTAGGCAGCTGGAGTTGGAGGCCTGTCTTTTCATTCTGGCTATGCGCCAGTTACTGATATTCTCTTGGACCCCTTTCCTTAAGAGTAAAAAAGGGACTGGACCAGGAAGTGGTCCTCTAAGGTTTTTAATCAGGCCAAGAGAAGAAGAAAGAAAAAATTCAAAGATCAGGGTGCCCAGGCCTAAGAGGAGACATCATTGTCAGGGAGGGATTCCAGGGACTGTTATACCCAGGCAGGGTCCCTTCTCAGTGTTCACCCTCCTTGGCAGAGTCAGAACAATGTTCAGTGTTTGGGGACCCCCTTTACCGCACGTTTGACCGCTTCAACTACCGCTTCACGGGCCACATGACCTACATTTTGGTCAAGACAGTGGACATACTCCCTGACGGGGTAGAGCACCTGCTTGTGGAGGGGCGCAATAAGATGTATCCACCCTGGAGCCCTGTCTTCTTGCACGAAGTGATTACAACTGTCTATGGCTACAAAGTCCATCTCCAAGCCAGTCTACAGCTTGTGGTAAGAGCAGGGTAGAGCCCAGGTGTGGAGAGGCAGGTTGGCTGTGGGATACCACCCAAGGGCAGGAGAAGCAGGGCTCCCTGTTCCCTGGGAAGTTTCTGGCAGGGGCAGGCAGGGCATAGAAGTCAGAGTGAGCGCCAGGCTCATTTCATGGGGTGCGGGAAGGCAGGGGTTGGGAGGCTCAGTTTTTTATTTTTTGGTTTTTTTTGTTTGTTTGTTTTTTTACAAGGAAGAGGCCAGGGCTGCCAGGGGAGCAAACCCCAACGAGGCTTCTGCCATGTGGGGCAATAAAGCACACTGGGGTATCTCCTTCCACTGGATAACTGCACCAAGAAATATGGAGATGTGTGTGAGAAGAGGGGCCTGGGCAAAAAGAGGCCCAGGGCAGTTTGATTCCCTAGGCATGGGAAGTGGGACTGTGGTCAATTAAGATTGACCTTCATTTCTTCTCCCCTCCTGGCAGACAATTGGACATCCTTCTGTAGGTCTCTCCTTAAAAGAAAAAAAAATGTAATTGAGATTATTGGCATATCATAATACTCCAATCTTCCCCATGTCTCCCACAGGGAAGTGGCAGTTGGCAGTGGGACCCAAAATAGCAGCAGGGCAAGTTGATTCAGCACTCCCTGTGGGCCTGTCTTCCCTCCCCAGGTGAACAACCAAAAGATGGCAGTCCCCTACAGTCCCAATGAGCACCTGCGGGTCACCCTGCGGGGCCAACGGCTGTATCTAGTCACCGACTTTGAAATGGTCGTCAGCTTTGATGGAAGGAACAGCGCAGGTTGTAGAGAGAGGGGAAAGGGATCAGAAGGGACATTTCTGGGGAGGAGGAAAAACCACATTTTAGGCTAATTGTGCTGAGGGGTCCTCTGCCTGGGAATGGGGCCTTCACTTCCAGAGGGAGGTTCAGGAGAAGGTGGAGTGAGGCCAGGTACAGAGCAGTGTGTAGGGAATCTCACTCCTGGGCACCCTGTTCCACCCACAGTGATCACCCTGCCCAGCATGTACCAGGGGCTCGTGCAAGGCCTATGCGGGAACTATGACAAGAACCACAAGAATGAGCTGATGATGCCCAATGGCATCGTCACCAAGGACTACGACACCTTTGGTAATAGCTGGGAGGTGAAGACGGATGACTCTGCTCCATTGCTCTTCCGTTTCCCAAGGTGAGAGCCTGGGGTTCTCAAGAGCCACTCACCCTCCAGTCCTCAGCAAAGGAGGAAATACTGGGGAGAGAGCCCAGGGAGACTGGCCTCGACCCTCCAATTTTGTCCTTTACTGACTACTGTGGGGGCATTTGCTGTGACAGTCCCAGTCTATGCCTGCCTTTCCCTGTGATCTTTCTTCCTTATGTCACCTTCCTTGGGCCTCACCTGGCCCTGGCTGTCTTTGCTCAAGGGCCTTGCCGGAGGAGGAAGGAAGACGAGGAAGAGGAAGAGGAGCAGTGGGCTTCCATGCAGCACCATGCAGCCCAGAGCAACTGGGGCTCATCAATAGCACCCAGGCCTGTAGGGTGCTGGTGGACCCCCTGAGCCCCTTTGCTGCCTGTCACCAGACTGTGGCCCCAGAGCCCTTCCAGGAGTGAGTCACGGGCCCAGGACTGCGGGAATGGCCCAGGTGCCTGATTGGCTCCCTGCCCCGCACTCTGCTGAGTTCACCTCTTTCTCCCAGTGGACAGCACCCAATATCTTTCTGTTTGGGGTTCCCTGAAGGGCTGGGTCTTCTTGCCTCCTCCCTGACAGTTCCTTCCTCTGTCCCAGGCACTGTGTGCTTGATCTGTGCTCCACCAAGGACCTCAGGGAACAAGAGGAGCGGCGCTGCCAGGTCCTCAGTGCTTATGCTGTCCTCTGCCAGGAAGCAGGCGAGACCCTGGCCGGCTGGCGGGACCACACCCGCTGTGGTGAGGCGCTACCCCAGGCCCTCTGCCATCTGCCTCTGCCCACTTCTCTCCCCACACTCACCTCACCATGGTCTTCCTGTCTTCATCCCTCCATCCCTCAACTTTCACCATGTATAAGTTAGCCCATACTCCAGCCTGACCCCTTCTCTGTCCTACCTCCAACCCCATCCCTATGTTCCGGTTCTTCCTGTTAAGGTCCACCTTTGCTCAACCTGTTCCTTCAAGTGCTCCAGTGACCCAGACACAAGTGCTCCAGTGACTCAGACTAAGCAAGCCCACATGTCTGGCTTCCCTGCCTATAAGCAGCTCTGAGTTATGTTGGGTGACCTTGTCCCTGTTTGGTCAGCACCAGCACCAGACAGTTTCTGACTATGACTCTGTCCCCTCAGCCTTGGGGTGTCCAGCCAATACTGTGTATCAGAGCTGCATGACACCCTGCCCTGCATCCTGTGCTGACCTGGCGGCCCCTGGGGACTGCGAGGGCCCCTGTGTGGAGGGTTGCGCCAGCATCCCAGGCTACATCTATAGCAGCACTCAGAGCCTCCCACTGACTGACTGTGGTTGCACCAGCAATGGCAGCTACTACCAGGTCTCGGTGATAGTGGGAGGCCCAGGGGCAGAGGTGCAAAGGACAGCCAGGCCAGGGCTGGACACCAGAACTTTTCTTCCCAATACTTTCCCCTTTACAGCTGGGTGACAGTTTTGTGACTGAGGACTGTTCTCAGCGCTGCACCTGTGCCCATACCAGGACACTGCAGTGTGAGCCTTTCAGCTGCAGCACGGGGGAGATCTGCACCCTGGGGAACCTGACCCGGGGCTGCTTCCGAGGTGAGTCTGCATCAAGCTGGAGTGGGCCTAGTTCAAGGATCATCCCTCCTTGCCCTCTGCCTGGGGCTCTTCCACAATGATGTCTGGGGGTCTGTCCCCTCCCTTTCCCATCCATTATCTGCCTAGCACTGTGCCAGATTCACTCCCTTTATCTCTTTTAGTTTTTATGTCAGCATGGTGGTGAGCACAGTACCAATTTACAGGTAATGTAAACAGAGTTCACAGAAGTTAAGCAATGTCCCCCAAAGCCCAGGGCTAGTGAGGGTAGATTCAGACATGAGAGCCAGGCAGACTGACCCCTGGCCAGTCTCTGGTAGAAGCTGCTTTCTTCCCTGGGGTCCTGGCCCCCAGCCAGGCCTCTCTCAGGTTGTGAGACCCTCCCTCAGAACACCATCTGTCCTTGCAGAAAGCCCTTGTCTACAGAACCCCTGTCAGAATGATGGACAGTGTCAAGAGCAGGAAGCGGGCTTCACCTGCCAATGTGAAGTTGGTTATGGAGGAGACCTCTGCACAGAGCCTCAGGATTTCCCACCCCCTGAAAAGTCAGGTGAGAGCTTCATCCTAGGCCCTATACTCTCAGAGCCCTTTCCTCACTGACAACCACCACAGAATTATTCTGTATGGATAATATTAACAAGTATTATTATATTGGCCTGTCATAGTGGTTCATGCCTGTAATCTATGTTTTCGGAGGCAGAGGCAGGAGAATGGCTTGAGGCCAAGAGTTCCACACCAGCCTAGGCAACATAGCAAGACCCGATCTCTATGAAAAAAAAATTTTTTTTAATTATCTGGACATGGGGCATGCATCTGTAGTCCCAGCTACTCAAGAAGGAGGCAGGAGGATTGCTTGAGCCCAGGGGTTCAAGGTTGCAATGAGCTATGATAATGACATTGTACTCCAGCCTGGGTGACTTGACAGAATGAGAACCCGTCTCTAAAAAAACAAAATTTTAAATCTATTTTAGTATTATGCATTATAGAAATTATATAACATTATACATTCTAGATATATTACCTATTAAGAGATATATAATAGGCTCGATGCCTGTGGCTCAAGTGGCTAAGGCGCCAGCCACATACACCTAAAGTGG